ACCTCCCGAGAAAAGCTGACAGGATCGCTCTTCTAAATAGGGAGGTTTAGTTCCCACGTAACGGAAACGCGTACGTGGGTGATCCACGTGAAGTGGATGAAGGGCACCCACGTTGCAATGTTGTGTTTAGTCACACCAAGAGTACATACGTTTATGTACTCTTGGTCACACGGAACAAACAAAAGCATAAAGCTAAAGGCCAAAACTGGTCAAAGACGAAGCTACCCCGGCCTTAGAAGCTCATCTAATATTTTGATTTCGTGCTTCGGAAACTTCTTCAGCTGAGCACCCTCACAGCTCGCACAATGCGCTCCATTCTGATTTTCGAGCCTCCATATAATAATACACGGTATGTCGTGAATCAGAAAACGTCTGTACGTGGGTCATTGAGTATCACGTGGTACACCCACGTAAAGTACCCACGGATTACGTGGGACTAAACCTCCCTAATGTGTATAGCCCGACTACGTACACTTAGATCAAATGTACGTTGGTTTTATGTGCAGGGGCTAGAAGGAGTAGGGACCCGGCAAATATGCCGGCACTAAATCAAGCATTTTAGGGTGCAAAAATCACATCAGCATTATCGGTGGTTTCGCGGGAATAATTGGCAGGATGGGTGATTTTTCGAGCATATTTACCCGGTGCCTATTTATGACCATTCCTTACCGAGGAAAAGTACCGGTAATCCTGTGGTAGTTAGCGCATAATCATCACTAAGGCTATGGATGTCGTGGAACACATGGTGTTTTAGGAGCACCAAACATCTAAATTTCCTAAAGATTTTAGACGTAAACTTATTTTTCAAATTCCCCACGGGCATGTGTTGGGATACGAAGAAAAACCGAATTTCAAGCTTAAATTTATGAGCATTTCCGGGAATTATCGGCATGGTTTCAGGCATAATTGGCTGTATTGTAAGAATTGCGAGAAAGCATGATGGGTGATTTTTCGAGCATATTTGCCCGGTGCCTAAGAAGGAGGGAAAACGGGCTACAAATGTGTATGGTACTAATTATTGCATGCAGGGGCAGCGGATACAGGGGTAGGGGGTAATGGGTCAAATATGGAGGTAATGAAGTGTGTACGGTGCTACAAATGTGTATCACTATTGCATGCAGGGGTAGGGGGAAATGGTGCAATGAAGTGTGTATGAACTACTGCATGCAGGGGTAGGGGGTAATGGTGCAATTATGGGGGTTATGAAGTGTGTATGAACTATTGCATGCAGGGGTAGGGGGTAATCAGGTAATGGTGCAATGAAGTGTGCATGAACTACTGCATGCAGGGGTAGGGGGTAATGATGCAATGAAGTGTGTATTTAGAAAAGCGATCCTGTCAGCTTTTCTATTATTGTGTTCACATGGCAAGAAAAACGACACCGCTATGCTACGTAACTTTCTACGTAAGGTGCTCGGTATTTCACTTAGGCTACGTAAGTCTCTACGTAAGGTGCTCGGTATTAGATCTACCAGCGGGTGGTAGCCGCGTGCTGTGCACGTGCACGGCAGACATTGTGTTGCAGTGCAGTCCGTGTTCGGTCGGATGTACATGCGCAAGGAACTAACTTCCTTCTTTGGAACTGCTTCTTGTATGAGCTGTTTCGGATATTTCGACTCCTGGCCTGGCTTATTTCGTTTCGGTGCTGCTGAGACCTCCTTTCGTGGAATATTACTGACAGGTGAGTTGACCAGTTCCCTTTGATTCATTTGCTTGTGTTCACTCTTTCATTTACGAAAAGTGTGCTGATTTTGGGCGGAATGCAATAAATAATGGAAAAGCTGACAGGATCTCTTTTCTAAATTATTTAGCTTTTCCGCTGCCGAGGCCTCCTTTTACGGAATACTCGATGACAGGTGAGCTTTTCTGCTGTCGAGGCCTCCTTTTACGGAATATTCAATGACAGGTGATCTCTGAGTTGACCGGTTTCCTTCGATTCATTTGCTTATGCTCACCCTTTCATTTACGGAAACGTGTGCTGATTTTATTCGGATTTAGATCCATTTTTATCTCTTTGCCCTTGTCTACAGTGTACGAAGAACGCGAGTTCACCTTCTTGACGGTAAGGCTTACCGGTATGTTAGATGTGTTGTCGAAATACTCATATTCATTGTACATTGGTACGTTACAAGTAAGGCACTGGTCAGTGGCATACTATCGTTGGCAGTTCCCAATCTGGAGGGAAAGGTTCAAGGACCCATTGACCGAATTTGCAAAATAAATTCGCATATCAGGGAAAATCTCCATTCTGGATAGGTTCAGTAAACTTGTTTGCTTCATACGAAACAAGCCAATGGGTGCAGTCTCGTCTCGTGAAGATCTCGTACTTGTATGATTGGATTTGTTTACTCGAGTCTGGGCTGTTTGATTTATTATTTGTGAGTACCGCCGAGATTGCACTGCCCCAAATAAAGTTTCGTGCCGCCAAAGCAAGAATTACGATCTGCAATCTGTTTGTAGTACATGTACCTGCAAGAATGTGCTGCACATGTATCGTACTTTCTCTGTTGCTGTTTCAGTTGCCGTCATGTTTCTGAAGAAAGGTTCAGTAGAGAGGTTCTGCAAAACGAAAATTCGAACGAAGTTTCGCGACAGTCCTTGCGAAAGTGTGTACGAATTTTGCGTTCTGCACATTTGGTAGTTTGCGCGGGCCAAGTGCACGTACGCCATGACCCGATCTCACGAATTTTCCTACGACAGTTAATTTCGCGTTCCCTGCAAGTTTCGTGTCCAAAGTTGCGAAAGTTCGTGCGAAGTTTCGCACTTCATGAAGTAGAACGAAAGTTTGTACGCATTTTCGTTTTGCAGAACCTCTCTACGACTCATTTGTTTCATACGAGACGAGTCAATGAGTTGGTGTGGCTTAGAATCTTTCGCTGTAGAAGAAATCTATTCGTATGTCTATTGGAGAAATAATTGTATTCACTGGTTATAAATAGGTTAAGACAAACTCACAGAGTTAATACCATCGGTCCCTTGGTGTTCGTCCTAAAGAGGTTCGACTGGATATCATTCATACTCACCAAAAGATGTGTAAGATTTTATTATTATGGAGTGCCTTGTTTATCTCTCAGTACCTCCAACCATAGCCTTGCCCCTTTTATCCTCAGGATCAGTGTAGTTGTTGGAACGAGGTGTCGGACTCAGCAATGTATTTTGTTTACATTTTAATACATGTTTATTGTTCCTCCTTTGCTGTGTTGTTTTAGAATATCGTGGACTAACAGTTTGAAGTCATTGAACTACTTCCAAAAGTTCTATCGACATCAACAGGATTACGATTTCAGTGCAATATGATGCAGGATGACCTTATCACGAAAACCCTTGATTACAAACCATTTTAAACACAGAATCAACAAAAAACATCTGCGACACGCACCTGGTTACATTTCTCAAATAAATCTGATCGAGGGTGGGGAAATCTGAAATATCTGAAAGGCAAGACGATTAAGACAGTCATGAAATTCTGCTACAGCAACATGCACAGAATGACCTTCGTATAAAAAAAGTATCACGGCGGTCCACCACTACGTACTCACATGTTTCCCGTAGAAGAACATGCTATGCCATTTTCTGCAAGAAAAGGCTTGCAGATCAAGGCGTATAATACGGTATTGATATGATCAAGAGTACATAAACCGTTTATGTACTCTATTATTATTATTATTATTATTTTATTTATTTTACTAGGGTGTTTCCCACAGACCTATGGTCTTCTTACGGGAGCCCCTAGAAAGGTTAAGCATGAACGAACAAATGGGCGATAATCTGTACAAGAGTCTTGATATGATGTGAAGGTTTGTAATCATGGCATTCCATTGATTGGTGACAGAAAAAAAACAAAAGAAATTATAGCAATAAAAACTGCTTCATGGCAGATTTCTAAAAAAAGTTTAGTTTAAATTTACATATTGATATAGTATAGGGCATTCCATTGATTGGTGACAGAAAAAACAAAAGAAATTATAGCAATAAAAACTGCTTCATGGCAGTTTTCTAAAAAAAGTTATTGTGTTCTAGTCCATGGACCACGTCTAAAAAGTAAGAAATTAACGAAATGTGATAGCCGAAAATTAAAATTTCACACAAAACCTCACAATAATCACACACAGAATGAAAAGCTACATGTAGAAGACCTTTTCCCCTCGTGATCCTCTTTCCTATGCATGCATGACATGCATGTTGCCAATTGTTGGTGCAGTACAAGTTTAGTGTTGAAAGCAGCATTTCAAGTGTTGTGATTATTGTGAGGTTTTGTGTGAAATTTTAATTTTCGGCTATCACATTTCGTTAATTTCTTACTTTTTAGACGTGGTCCATGGACTAGAACACAATAACTTTTTTTAGAAAACTGCCATGAAGCAGTTTTTATTGCTATAATGAACTACTGCATGCAGGGGTAGGGGGTAATGGTGCAATGAAGTGTGTATGAACTACTGCATGCAGGGGTAGGGGGTAATGGTGCAATGAAGTGTGTATGAACTAATGCATGCAGGGGTCGAGATCCAAATATGGGATGCGTATAACCAAGAGTCCATGGACTCTTGGTATAACATAACATGCTGTCAAAATCGAAAAACATGTCTGGACTCTGCCAACCGGGTTATGGCTGTAGTCAGGAGAACTACGTATACGTACGCGTCCTCGCCTTGTAACATGCTGCCAAAATCGAAAAACATGTTAAACTACCAAGCAAGGCTTGTGTGCACGTGTAGTACAACAAAAAAGTTCAAAAAACGCGGGAAAATCGCGGCAGACGCGGTCTTTTAAAATCGCAAATAACCGCGGAAAAAACGCGGCCGCGGGATCGCGACTTTCCCAGGGGAAAGCGCATTGCATGCGAGATTTGCGAGGCCATTCCCGAACGCAAATTGAATCGCGATTTTCCCAGGGGTCAGCGCATTGCGAGATTTGCGAGGCCATTTCCGGACGCAAATTGAATCGCGCTTCCGCCCAACCGCGACCCACGCAACCCGCGGCGCATGAGCTCAGTTATAAGGGCTTCACCTTCAGTCACCCTTCTCAGTTGCTTTCTTGTATCGCTAGAGGGAGGTTTGACTACACTGGACTTTGAGGAGTTGTCTTGGAGTGGATCTGCTATCTATGCGGTAAGGGGTCGTCCATAAATATCGAACTTTTTTCACAAAACGATATAATTTCGTTATGGGGTGGGAGGGGTTGACCAATTTCGTTTCAATAAACATTGACACATGTGCATGCCCATAGGAGCAGTTACACATTTGCAACTTTTGTTGTATTATGCATGAATATGTCAAACTTTTTTTTACGTTCTGAGGGGGAGGGAGGGAGAGGTTGGGTCTAAACTAAAATAATTCGTTTGGTGAAAAACGTTCGATAATTACGGACGGCCTCTAAGTTCTATTCGTTTTGTGAATGTATATGAGAATAGGTGTTCTGTCCGAGCAGGGAGAGGATTAGCTTGTGCATGTACCTCAATGTGCCGTCTATCTGGCCCCTCTATAAGGTTGCGTTTGTTCGGTGCCATTCCGCCACCATTCCAAAGTCATTCCGCCGTGTTTTGGCTCCGGAGCGGTTTTTTTTTTGATACACTCGAAAGCGTTTGTTCGGTGCAATTCCGATTCCGGTCGCGGAATGAAGGGGGCAGAATCGTTTCTGGCGATTCCTAAGAAAAAGTGGAATGAGGTCTCATTCCGAGCGGAATGAAAATGCGCGGAGGGGCTTCGTTGCTGCTGCATACCTGTACCTCACCAACAAAACAAAACTTCAAACTCGATTATCGATACTATACAGGAATGTTGGCGGACATCGTCCAGGGTATAGGCTGGTACTGGGAATGACCGAAGAAATGAAACCTAATTTTTATCTTTTTCAAACCCTTTGTGTACCGTGACGTACTTGTGTATCAGTGCCATTCAGTGGTAGATTTTCTTGTGACCTGACAGGAGCAGACAATGCTTGCAAACGCAAGCACAAACAGCAAAACAGGGAGTTGCAGTAATAAAGAATATTATTTCATTCACTCGTTACCATCAAGAACGTTTGATTACTGAGAGACTGTGTTTATTTCGGCCCTATCCATGAGTTAGTGGAGTGTACGCACATGGCGCCAATATGTTCAATCACGATCACTACCCCTTCTTAAATGGAAAGGGATGCACTAAGGGTGCCTTCCTAAATCCTCTGGGAAAAGTTGGAGACTCTCCGAAAAGTTCGAGAGCTGTTCTTATATCCTCTCCGAATTTTAGGAGGCTCTCCAAAGCTCTCGAAGCTCTCCAAGCTTCAGAGCTAGAGGTGGTTGAAACTCGGAGATTCCCGCGGTTTCGGATCAGCGCATGCGAACTAGGCTAAAAGCCACGTGTTGATCATGAGTGTACGCATTTCCCTTTTCGCATACGCACAGCGCATACAATTTTCGTGGCACTCAAGATCACGGTCCCTTTGGCGCTCCATTTTGCTTGACATCTGCAAAATATCTCCGAATTCTTCGAGACCCGTTCTTGAAGAATCCCAGTTTCTTCGACTTCTCTTTTCTTCTTCTTCTAGAAGCTGGAGAATTTAAGAACGCACCCTAAGTAAGTTTTTATAGAAGATATTCTGATGCAGCGTATCTACACTCGAATAACTAGCATATGTGCCAAATAAGCAAGAACAGAACAGTGCAAAGTGGTATGACCTTACCAAACTTTAGTACTGCATTTTGCCACTCTTCAAGCACTCTTTTCTACCGATCGTCAGCTAGCTTTTTGAGGGAAATGCAATTGGCAACTTCCAGTTGTGATGTTGGCTGTTCTACATGTATATGATCTTGTTGGCTATTCAGCGGCTTGGATTCTACTTTGCAACAACTCCAGTTCATTGTTTTGCATGTACTGTTAACAGGTGGAAGATGGGATCTATTTTATTGCTTGCACTATGTGTGTTGGCTTCAATGCTGCACACAATAAATTGTGCTGAAGGTAAGACTTTAAAAACCTAAAAGATATTCAGTGTCATTTTCTATCCTTTTGCTCAGAACTTGCAATGACAATTGTAATATTCCATTACATTACATTTCTGTAATTTCGGGTGCGGGGAAATTAACATTATCAACCTGTTGCCATGGCTCCCCACTGTGTCCCATATTAGCAAAAGACTTTGTAGTGTACTTCGTACCTCGAGTCAACTTTGAGGCACATTGTAGTCTAGTTCCAATGTCAGATTTGTGATGGCTTTTTCACATAATTATGTCGACAACAAAACGCAAAATGAAACATTCTATGAAGTACTCAATGACCTTCATATAGGTCACAAATTTACTTGCAAGTACATGTGAGTCCGAACAGTCTGGAAAACAATTCAGGTGGATAAAACTGATTTCCAGCGGTCATTACAATATTACACAACGATAAAGCATGACTTTTTCAACCGTTCTTAACGGGCAAATGTTAAATTGAAAAATTAACACAATGGATTAAAATGCAATACGACATTGGAGAAGAATAAGAAAAATGCATGTGTAAAAATAAAGATTTTCAAACCCAAACCAAACAGAACTTCAAATCAAAACTTTATGAAACAAAATAAATTATTCTCACCGAACTCAATCAATGAACTCAATTCAAAGGAAAAAAACAATATCAAAACAAAACAAAAAACATTTTATGAACTACGTCATAACACTACTGTCTAAGGTATTCAATTGTTTGAGGGAAAGACAGAAACAAAGTCTGAAGAAAAAAATGACTCACCATCAGGACTCGAACCAGGTACCCTCACTTGTAACCACACTGGGCTGTGTTCCAAATAAATAAAAAAATAAAAAAGCCAGCGATGCTCTAAACACTAAGCTATGGTCTTCGTTCTCCCTGCATGCAACTTTGTTTTCTTTTATGTTCTTATTTTTTTGTCTGAGCCGGGTTTGTGTTCTTTGTAGGAAAAAAATGGTGCGGTCCACTACTAGCCCTTTCCCAAAGATGCTCTTTTAATTCGCACTTAGTGTTTTTCGCGTCCCTCAAAATATGCTGAAAAAGTGCTCTTTTTCATTGAAAACAGGCAAAAGTGCTCTTTTTTCAGTGAAGCTTGGCCATTTTACACGTTCACATGAACCCAAGCTGAGAAAGAAATACGCACTCATCCAATTATGAGTCCACGAAAGGCAAAACATGAAGTAAAGTAAAAAAAACACTTTTACAGCATTGTGTACAAAAGTACAAGCTTCACCAACTTGTTGCCCCCCCCCCCAAAAAAGCGGCGTGCCAAGGCCCATCGAGCACTCCGAAACTGTGATCGCATGCATAAGCAAACAGATTTTAGCACTTTTTCAGCTAGAAAAGCTCAAAAAGGGCAAAAGAACGATATTCACAAAAAAGGACTACCCACTACAGGTCTGCTCTCGATATAACAACTTTCACTTGTACATAAACCTCGCTAGTAAGTAAAATAATCAAATCCCGTGCCGAAACAGCATCACTCCCATACAAATTTTGTTCTACACAACATAATCCTACATAACATAAACCTCGACATAACACACGCTACGGCGCGGTCCCCGACGTACGCACTCTCGATACAACATAAATTCACGTGCGCGGTACGATCAAGCGGTAGCTGCAGCTAGGCAGTTTAGTCCTAATAATAAATAATAATATTCGCGGGATCCGCGTCGGCATCGCTTGAATGTTCAGAAACACACAAACTAGCCTTCGCATCCGCAGGCCACCACTATGCCTGTTAACCTTAGTGGCGAATGCAGACCTCACAAGTGAGTCAGGGGAGAGGAGGTTAGTCTCTCAACCAATCGGGCGTGTAACGGCCCATAACCCTGTAAACTGCATCCTTGTTATTCTCACTCCGAGCTGTGAGTACCCAGTTGACCGTGGGTGTCGGCGCAGTTCAACACGCGTAAAAAGTCTTTTTACACGCTTCCTGCTACCAGCGCGGGTCTTGAACTCGGGACCTCATGATTCGCAGGCAGGCCTGCAAACCAATCGGCCATATGCGTTGGTGCTACATAACGTAAACCTCGGCATAACGCACCCTGTGGCGCGGTCCCCGACGTGCGCACTCTCGATACAACGTAGATTCACGTGCGCGGTACGATCAAGCTGTAGCCGTAGCTAGCCAGTTTAGTCCTATTGTGCATATATTCTGCGGCATTGATGGTATCTGATGTCGATGGTGGTACAGTGTGTATATGTTTGCACGGTTAAACCCGCTTTGTAATACCCTTCATTTTGAGGTGCATCTTGTATTTTACACACGGTTTTCTACATAACATAACTCTCGATATAACATAATTTGTGCGTGGTCCCAGAGATTACGTTATATGGAGAGTAGACCTGTACTGTACAAGTACAAATTTTCGTTCACGAAATCTTTCGTTAGATCACTCCACCAGCAGGTTTGTTACGTACTAAATTTCGTTTTCGGTCGGGGTCTATCACCCTGAACGTTCAAAAGAGGTCAATTTAGTTTGGTACAAATGTAGTTATTCCCGTAGCTATGCAGAAGACGTTACTTCAGTAACGTCTGGCGCTAGCCAGGGTCCACACAGCTTTAATTTGGTGTTTGTTTGTTTGTTTGTTGGTTTGTTTGTTTGTTTGTTTGTGTCACGGCTGGAGCTATCCCGTACCTGTCCCGTATCTGTCCCGTATCTGTGACTACAAAGGCTCTACAGGATTGTACGAGGTGATCAGCAAAAATTTTACATTGGAGATTTTTTTACATTTTCTGTAAACTAAATTTTGTTGTCGTCGAGACATCTCCTGGAGGAAGTAATCTTTGACATTCGATTAGGTATTCCGTTAGTGTTATCAGTGTAGGTCGTGTTTCAGCCGAAGTTTTTGTTTCTGCAACTTCGCCATGCCGTGACGAGGCCTCAGTATTTCGTTGTGTGTAGTAAATTGCTGTAACAATAGTGTAAACCAGCACGATATGGAAGAGACCAGGTCGCGTATGCAGCTTAGATCGGCAACCGCGGCTGCTGATAGGATCCCTGACGGCTGTTCCGATGAGAACTCGCCCCCTGTAGAGCGCTCGACGGCCACAGGCCCCACACAGACGCCAAACCCAAACGGGCAGAAACGAGCATATTTGGCTATAAGGGCGTTCTATTCGCCAGGCACTAAGGCGCAGTTTAGTTCCAAATCCGAAGCTTCTGCCGCATTTGGAGTCAGTCGGCAGCTCTTCTATAAATATGAACGTGAGATGGATTTGTCAGGAGTGCTAATTGATGTCTGTGATGGTCGACTTCCTGACCCTGTCATTCCCAGCATGGCACAGGCTAGTGCAGCAACGAACTCTGACCCTTTTGACACGCCAGAGAGCATGGAGAAAGTCAAGACAGCCCTTCTTGAGAGGTGCACACGGCTTGGTGATTCTGTTCACTATGGCTCTCATGGTACTGCAGGTCTGTACAGGGAAGGCATAAGTGGGCTGTTGATCAGATGCTGCGTTCTGTTTTGCCTGCTGATGGTCGCCGTGCATCGAAGTTGCTGGCCAGCTTAGGAGTAGGCGTATCGCATATGACGCTGCATACCAAGTACAAAGAGGCCAAGGCCAATGTTGAGCAGGTTGTTGCCACTCCGCTAAAAGCTGGTATCAAGTCCAAGATCCCTTATCGCTTTGAGCATGAGTTGGCCAAGTATGTTCAGATGCTGCGCGCCCTTAAGTTGAAGGCCGGGAAGTCTCTTCTGATAGGTGCTGCCAATTACCTGATCCAGGGCACACCATATGCTGCAGACTTCAAATATGCAGAAGTGCGCTATGGTTGGTATTATTCTTTTCGTCGGAGGTGGGGGATCAAGGTGAAAACCAAACCCGCCTGGAAATGGATCGTGCTCGCTGGACAACGGCTCAACATCTGGGCAATTGGTATAAAGTTGTCATGGAAGGCATGATCGAGTGTGGCGTGGCTGTTGCAAATGACAACTTTGATCCAGAGCTGCCATACGACGCTATGTTCCACGTCACAGACCCAGACCTGGTTTATGAATGGGATCAGACTGGATTTTCCCTGGACCAAACGGACGATGGCAAGGGTCCAACGGAAAAGACGATGGTTATTGACGCCGATGACTGTGGAGAGTGTGTGGCCAACAAGTCAAACATTCGTTGGACGCTGACTGGAGGCTCTTTCATGTCTGGAGATTCGCTGCCAGGGTGTGCTACTCCACCATCCCAAGGCATTCAGTTGGCTCTTCTTAAAGACCCACCTCGCTCCACCATCATCAACCCTGTGACACGTGAAGGCTACCCATGCCAATTCTATCCGCACCAATCTGGTGGATTCACCTACGACCTTGCTCCACAGTGGATGCGGCACGTCGTTGGACCATGCCTGCCCAAGAAAGAGGGCAAGCGAGCATACGGCCTCTGTGATGGCTACGGAGCACATACAACCCTACCTATGGTCCGTGCAGCTGAGGAGGTGGGGTCGGTAATACAATTACGTGTGCCACACACCAGCCATGTGTCTCAGGTGGCTGATGTCGCCAACTTTCCCATGTTTAAGAGGAAAGCTAAGCAGGCCAAGAGCGACCTTCTCATCACCAAGGTTATGGATGGAAAGCCACCAAGATTGTCATCAGATGATATGCCTACAATCATCAAAGTGCCATGGGAGCAAGCCTTCCATCCTGATGTCAGCCGCAAGGGATGGAAGGAAATAGGCTTTGACTCAGCGACAAAGGCTTGCAACCGCAAGCTGTACTGGGACTTGAAGGCAAAAGAGGAAGCAGCTGCGAAAAGGCTTGAAGGTGTCGGTTCTGCTGATGCTGTTTTGGATGCACGGTGCCAGCGGTTTCATCAGCGAGGGAGCACTTGCAATTCCAGTCTGTCTTCAACAGCAGCCAACGCAACGCTTCAAGGCACCAATGCCAATGTTCCTTCTACGTCAAGTGTTGCTGCTGCCACTGATGCTACAAATGTTGCCACGCAGTCTGGTATTTCTTCTGCTGTTGCTGATGCTGCTGCTGCA